TGTCTTGGGCAGCATCCTGCATGGCTGGGGGAGCTGGGTGCTCACTCACTATACCTTCACTTACTCCTGCGGGAGAAATTTCGAGCCAAGGTGGTCTCCTTTGGTGCTGAGCTGTGCTGCCTTGGGGGAGGAGTGTCACAGGTAAAGTGAAACTGCTCTCACTCTCTTCAGTGCAGCTATTCTTGGAGCTTTTGCTCCAATGCTGTGCTGGGACTTCTCCTCTGGACTTTCAGACTCCCACAGAGGTACTGTCATCCATGGGTAGTAGTTAAAATCAGTGCTTTTGTGGGAGGATGATGGTAGAAAGCTGCTGTTCTTCCATCTTCCCGACATCATCCATATGTGCGTGTCTTATCTCCCTGATTAGATTGTAAACTCCTTGAAGGCAGGGATTTGTGGATCACACTCTGCCATCCTGCAAATAAGTGAGTCGGAGTCTGTGACATAGTATAGCATGTGTTTCTAATTATGGGGTTGATGGATTCACAGAGGGGCATAAAACACACATTGTCTATCATAGAGATTTGGGGTTAAAGTTTGAACGTCTCTTCATTTTTAGCTTTCAAGGGAGCTTGATAATATGGTCCACAAACACAATAGGATGCCAATCCAAGGCTGCACGTTTTCTCTCTTAAAACCTCTGAGGAATCCTCCCTCCCTTCCTCTTTTCTTCCTTCCTTTATCCTCCCACTTAGGAGTGGAGGGGTGGCAGCAGGCGTCTTTAGGCCCAGATCCCTGTCCACACTGGTGCCCAGGTGTGGGCCAGGCTTCCAGTGCTCAAGGTGGCCTTGGAGGACCCTGCTGAGGCGTGGGCGTGCGTGGGGGTTGGGCTCGAGGCAGGATGTGGTGGATGGCGACTGTCGAGATGGCTTCGTCGCTGCCCCACGGTGGGTGCGGGGCCATGGCCCCCGCCCAGGCAAAGGGTAGGGGAAGGGGTTCTGGGGGCCACTGGACAATCGAAGGTTTCTGAAATGTGGGGGCCACAGAGGGCTAGGAGTCTGTAGATGGCTGTGACATTTGGCACCCCAGGGAGGCAGCTTAGGGGAGTAATACCATGAGGTTTAGCATCGGAGGGTCTAAACTGTGTCACTTTTTGGCCCCTGTGACTCTGCAAGAGTTATTTAAAATCTCTGTTATCTTAGTCGTCAAGTGGGGATAGTTACAGTGTCATATTTATTTTTTCTCACAGTAGTCACAGTCACTCATGGCAATTCTGACCTCCCCAACAGGAAGTGCACTTCCCAGCAGTGGGCCTTTAGAGATGGGAGCATAAGGTGATGGAGCTGGAAGTCCCACTCCATCGGGCTCATTTACGTGGAGCCCAAGACTCAGAGGATAAGTGACCAGCTGTCTATGGTCCCGTGGCCAGAGAAGGCCTGGAGCCCGAGCCCCGTGCCTGGATCAGTCTGGCTTGCCGGGAGGGATGGGGTCGGGGACGGCCGTGGACCCGTCCTCAGCTGGGATCAGGGTTTGCTCCGTGGGGCCACCACCTGCCAGTCACGTGAGCTTCCGCGAACCGCTTCACCTTTCCGAGCCTCCGTTTTCACACGCCTGTTTCCATCGAGGATGACAATGGGGGAGGGTGTCTTGGTCCACGTCCAGGTGCTTCTTGAAAGGGGCTCCTGAGGAGGAGGGGTGCACCCAGGAGGCAGAGGAGTGCGGTCTGGGAGCAAAGGATCCATTCAGACACCAGCCCCCCAGCTCCCCAGCTCTGCGGCCCCTGAGGACCACAGTCTGCAACCTGTAACATCACAATAGCGACACCGAGTACGGTTGCCCATTGGTGGGCCACGGCGGGCAGATCCACGTTGCTTTCACTGTTGTGCCTCCAGGGCCTGCCGTGGGACCTAGCACTTGGAAGGTCCTCAAAAAACCATTCTCTGAAACATATCTCGAGATCTAATATCTTCGAATATCTCTGGGCTCTGTGGCTGTGGCTGAGACCTGCGGCTGACAGCCCCGGGTCTGCACAGTCGGACTCCCTTCCCCAGGTGCAGGAGCTGCCCTAGGCCTGCACAGCCGGCCAGTGGGCGGAGGCTTCCAGCTACGGCAGGCCGGCTGCATTCTGTGCTCACCTCGGAGTGGGGGCTCTGCCTGTCAGACAGCGGTGCTCGCAGAACCACCAGGACTCTTGTTGTTTTTTAGACAGAGTCTCGCTCTGTTGCCCAGACTAGAGTGCCGTGGCGTCAGCGTATCTCACAGCAACCTCAAACTCCTGGGCTCAAGCGATCCTCCAGCCTCAGCCTCCCGAGTAGCTGGGACTACAGGCATGCGCCACCATGCCCGGCTAATTTTTTCCATGTATTTTTACTTGTCCAATTAATTTCTTTCTATTTTTAGTAGAGACAGGGGTCTTGCTCTTGCTCAGGCTGGTCTCAACTCCTGACCTTGAGCGATCCTCCCGCCTTGGCCTCCCAGAGTGCTAGGATTACAGGCGTGAGCCACCGCGCCCTGCCAGGGCTCTTGGTAAAATGCAGCTCCTGGCTCCTGCTGCTGCTGCTGGCCCGGGCTGCCTGGCCAGGTGCAGGCTCTGGATGCCTGGGCCTGGGGGAGGGGCAGGCTGCGTCCCCCTGGGGCCTGGCTGCATGCGGGAGAGTGCTCCCTCCCTGCATTGCCTTTTCTGAAGTAACAAAGCCAGGCCAAGGGCCTCACAGAAATCTCCTGCTGTTCTTTGTTGTTTATTGAAATAAGAACAATTTCCGCATTTGTGGGCCCCACCGCGGTGAGGAGTAGCATAGAGAGAGGCTTGCTGCCCTGCCCTGCTGAGAGCGTGTGGTCTCAGCCTTCTCGGCTTGTGCTTCCCAGACACACGCTGAGACGACAGTGAGGAGGGGGCGCAGTGACAGCTTTCTGGTCTCTGTCATGTGCACATCCTCCTTCGTTAAAAATGGCTGAGGACGCTGAATTCCAACGCTCTTTCTGTCCCTTCTGCGCGTCACAGGACTGTGTGACGTCTTCATTGGAATCAGTGGGAATTATGCACCTGCTGTGGGCTGTCCGGAGGACAGTGGTGGGCTGTGGGACGGGACAGCGCGCTGGCTCCCAGCACTCTGGGCTGCGCGGTCAGAAGCTCCTGGGGCTTAAAGGGAGGGGGTCTCAGCACGCTGGAGCCCGCGGCGGGGGGTGGTGGCAGCTTGTGTGCTTCTTGCAGAAAGTGCGCTGCCATTCGGAGGAGCCTGAGACCTTGGAAGTAGGAAGAAGCGTTAGAGCTCTTGTTCTAATCCTCTCTCCTTAGAGAACCTCTATTGTTCTGCCAGAGGGTTAGTTTCCAGTAAATGTCTGCAAGTTAACGCAAGCCTGCTACACAAAAGGCAGCGGTTGCTGTGAAGTAGACGGTGTGTTGACAGTCTCAGTGGATGTTGATGGTTCTCATCTCCTTCTTCTTCCCTGACAAACCCAAAATAGAATATTCTTATCAGAGACAGCAGCTCACACCAGCAGTAGGTCCCGGTGTGTGTAGCTGTTGCTGTGGAGGGTGAGGTGCGGCGAGAGGGGTCTCCCGGTGGCTTCCCGTGGTCGGGGTCTAAACTCAGCTCTGTGCCTGCCAAGGTTACAGCATTGAATTGTGTGGGATCAGAGGTGTGCTTATGTGTGTGCACTTGTGCATGTGTATGTATAGTATGTATGCACATGGTGTCATGAATGTGCATATAGCATGCATGTTTGCATGTATACATGCACACATGCATACATGTAGGCCTGCATTTTTGCAGGTATATGTGTATAGCATGAATGTGCATACATGTGTGCAAATATATGTATACATGTGTAAGTTTGTATTTGTGTATGCTTATATGTATACACCTGCACATATATGTATGTGCATATATGGTGGTATGTATTTGTATGTGCATGTATGTTTCTGTAGATAATATGTATGTATATGTGCATGTAGGTGCACAACTATGTATATGCATATATGTATATGAGCATATAGTGTGTGTATGTTTGCATTCGTTCATGTGTGTATGCATGAGTGTACATGTTTGTGTGTGTAAGTTTCGTGTATGTGTATGTTTGTATGTATATAATTATGTATGGTTGGCACCGAGCCTTCAGCCCCCAGTTCTTAGACACGCAGCCGTCCGAGGTTGGGGCCGCGGGGGCGTGGCTTTGGTGCGTGCTGGGGCCTGGGCGGAGGCGGAAATCCCCGGGGTCCAGGCCCTGCCCCACGCCGGAGGAGCCCAGTGGCTCTGCCAGCTGACACCACCCGTGTTCCTCGGGCGCCGGGTGGGTCTGGTCTGCAGAGCTGCGGGGGCTGGGTGTGGCCTGGGTGCAGGGACAGGAGCGGGGATGGAGGCAGGACAAGCCCTCCCCCATAGTCACGGAGCGGACAGACCTTGGCTGAGGCTGGGACTTAGGGGTCCCCATCTGGCCTCACCCGCCCCATGTGATGTTCAGGGGAGGTGCATGTCCTTTGGCAGCTATGTCAACCATGGGCCCTGAAGAGCCGCCCAGTGACAACCACGCATGCGACCTTGAAGAGATTGAGAGCCGTCTGTCTTTCTAAGTTTCTTCTTGTGTGTGTGCACGTGTGATGTAGATTGGATCACGTGTGATGTCAGATCACCTGTGCACGTGTATGATGCATGTTAGATCACTTATGCATGCATGTGATATATGTCAGATCACCTGTGCATGTGTGCATGATGTATGTCAGATCACCTGTGCATGTATGTGATATATGTCAGATCACCTGTGCATGTGTGTCATGTATGCCAGATCACCTGTGCATGTATGTGATACATGCCAGATCACATGTGCATGTGTGCACGATGTATGTCAGATCACCTGTGCATATGTGTACGATGTATGTCAGATCATCTGTGCATGTGTGTGATATATGTCGGATCACCTGTGCATGTGTGTGTGACATATGCCAGATCACCTGTGCATGTGTGTGTGATGTATGTCGGATCACCTGTGTGCGTGTGTTGTTGAGGAGGAGGCCGCTGCATCACCTGAGCACCAACCAACCTTGATCTTGTTGTTTTCTGCAGGAGACATGGGGGACAAAGGACAGAAAGGCAGTGTGGGTCGCCATGGAAAGATTGGTCCCATTGGCTCGAAAGGTACTTGTGATGCGGTTCTCGCCTCAACCCCCTCCCAGGCTTCCAGCGAGTCCTCACACCCCGAGATGGGTCATGGGCTGAGCCTTCTCGCCCGTGTCTTGTTTATCTGTGTGCATTACGCATGATCGACTCTGCCGCAGTGCTTGCGCTTGGGGAGTGTCGGTGAGCTGCTTGTTCTGGCCCACTGGGGTGGGGTGAGGGGCTCCCCGCTCGGCAGGGCTTACCCGGAGCCCAGGATGGAGGGTCGGAGCGAGTGTGCTTGGGCCAGATCTCGACTCTTCAGCTGCAACATGAGCTTGTTACAACCCTCAGAGCCTCTTTTAGGTAACGGGGGGACCATGTTGGGAAGCGACGTGTCTCCGCACCGGCGTGGGTTTCTTTGGCTTGTTGAGGTGATGGTACGGCCCTCAGAGAGAACAGGGCACAGACGGCAGCAGCAGGTGTGGGAGTGGCCGCGCTGGTGACACCTGGGCTCAGGTAACACCTGCAGGTTCAAGTCGCACCAGCTCTGCTGCGTTTGACTCGTACCATGTTGGCGGGCGAGGAGGGCAGATCGGGCCACATGCTCCCCGTGACAAGGACAGCGAGGGTCGGGACAGTCAAGGGCTGCTCAGAATCACAGTGCTCGCAGGCCGGCCCTGCCCACCCAGTCAACGCACGTTCTCGGAACGCCGGGTTTGCTCCCTGCCTGTGCTGGACTCCGGGGGCAAGGAGCCGGCAGTCCCTGAGCTCTGCACATGTGACCTCGTGGAAGTCCCCCCCGCCAGGGTCCTGGGACGGTGCCAGCAACGTGGACACTAGGCTGGGGAGGCCAGTGGTCGGCGTGGAGCTGCCCTGAGACCCCAGGCAGGGAGGGTCTGGCTGGTCTGCCCAGTCCCAGTGCAGGCTTCTCGTAGCTCACGCCTCTGCCTTGGAGCCGGTTGACCCAGGCCCACGGGGGGCCATATCTGGGGCCACAGACCTCCCTCCCCCAGCCCCGCCTGTCCATGGTAGAAGGTGCCTCTGGCCAGGAGGGGGAGGGGAGGGCGGCCAGCTCATCTGCACATCTCCTGCCCCACGGCGGGACTCGGCAGCGAGCACACGGACAAGCGTGGTGTCAGGAGGGATATGGGCGCTTTAAGCAACTCCAGTGGAATTGCGGTAAACATTTGTGACCCAAAACTCACCACTGTAACTATTCTAAGCGTGCAGTGCAGTGGCACTGTAACGCGTATTTGCGACACTGCACCCACGAAGCAGTAACCTCCCCCTTCCTCCCCCAGCCCTGGGGGCCTCGAATCTGCTTTCTGGCTCCAAGAGTTCACCTTTTCTAGACGTTTCACACAAGTGGAGCCACAGCAGTATCTACCCTTTTGTGTTCGGCTGATTTCACGTAGCGCAATGTTTTCAAGGTCACCTGTTGCCGCGTGTCGGATCCCCTCCCTCCTTGCGGCTGAGCGCTCTGCCACTGCACGGGTGACCCATGCCGTGTCTGCCCCGTATCTTGTCTCTGCCTGTGCGTGGCGCTGCAGCCGGCCCTGCCCTGCATGCAATACGCCGCGTGTGCCGGGCAACCCTCAGCATCTCGCCAGGGACAGCTCGCCGGGCCCCTTGCTTGGCTTTGCTGGTTGGATTTGCCTCGCGTCTGAGACTGTCTCCCGGGGCCTCGTGCGGCTGCACTTGCACCTTCCAGCCCCGGTGTTGGTGAAGAACAGCGGGGAGCCAGGCGGGCGGTGACTGCCCAGCTCTCCCTCCTGTGCCGGGGCACCTGAGCCCACGGGCTCGGCACTCAAGGCTCCTTTGCAGAGACCTTCAGGGTCTCTCCGCGAGAAGGAAGATAGTGCTTCAGGAATACTCGTGCGACTTAACATAAACACTCCTCGTTTAATTTTAGAGCAGCTAGAAAGCTTTGTTGCCATCGTTTTTTTTTTCATAAGTTGAGAGGAGTGGAGGGCACTGTGGTTAGGTGGCTTGTCCCATCCGACAGGCCAGGACGGGGCCCTGGGTCCTCGGTCTGGGCCCTTCGGGGACATGATGCTGCCTCAAGGAGGGGCCAGGAAGGGCTTTGATTGCAGTGCAGGGGCCGTAAGGTCTGCTGACGCCTCATTGCTCAGGTCCACCCTCGTGCTGCCAGTGCACGCCCTGTCTGGACTTCCCGCTGCCCAGGGGAGCATGTAGAAGTCATCGCCCCTTCCTCATGGGGTCGAGACCTCCTGAGATGTCGTCTGCAAAATGTTCTGTCAAATATCTTGGATTTTCCAGAATCGACTTAAAGAATGATCGTCTGATAATCCCTAAAACCCTATGGTGTGTATATGGTGCACATAGTATAAATACAGCGGGAAGAATTGGTTACCTAAGGAATACAGCCCCTGTGCTTCCCAGCACTGATGGGGCCTAGGAGAAATCCCAGGGCATTATGCAAAAAGCAAGGACATTTTATTTTTATTTATTTATTTTTTTGAGACAGTCTCACTTTGTTGCCCAGGCTAGAGTGAGTGCCATGGCGTCAGCCTAGCTCACAGCAACCTCAAGCTCCTGGGCTCAAGGGATCCTCCTGCCTCAGCCTCCTGAGTAGCTGGGACTACAGGCATGCACCACCATGCCCGGCTAATTTTTCTATATATTTTTAGTTGGACAATTAATTTCTTTCTATTTATAGTAGAGACCAGGTTTTACTCTTGCTCAGGCTGGTTTCGAACTCCTGACCTTGAGCAATCCGCCCGCCTCGGCCTCCCAGAGTGCTAGGATGACAGGTGTGAGCCACCGCGCCCGGCCAGCAATGACCTTTTAAACCTTGATATTTTAGAACGTATGGCATGTGTCCACCTCTGCTTGGTGACTCTGACCTTGCTTTTCATTTTCAGGTGAGAAAGGAGACACTGGTGACATAGGACCCCCTGGCCCTAATGGAGAACCAGGTATGGCAGAAAGGGTCCAAGGATTTTTCATAAAATGTATTAAAAACTGTGCTCTTCAAAAAATGTAAACCATTAAATAAAACTACAACGGGCTGGAAAGCAGGGGTACACACGACTGACAGTCGCACCCTCAGGTGGGTGTTGCAGTATTTGATTTCCTTCTTGCGGAATGTTTGAGTGGCCTTCTCAGGAGTGTGCTCTGCCTGTCCACCCCGTGCGGTCACATCTGTGTCGGATTCAGGCTCGGCCACCCTGCCCTAACGCCAGCAGCCTTGTTTGTTAACGCTCCCTGGGCACTGAGGACCCCGTCCTGTGCTTTCTGGATGGTTGCCTCTTTCTTGACGTCCTTGCAGCTGCTTTCCCACGACCTTCCACCGAGACCTCCAAGGTCACCAGGGACCTCCAGGTCCAGCTCAAGTGGACTTGGCTCAGCTACCAGTGCTGAATGACCAGGATGCAGAACCTCGAGTTCCCTCAGCTTGTCTTCCTGCCCGTCTCTCTCCGTTCTCCTTCCCCCTCCCTGGAGGCCACCCCTGCACACCCCACACTGCATACCCCAGACCCCAGACCCCACACTGCACACCTACACTGCATACCCTGCACTGCACTCCCAGCACTGTGCTTCTCTCACTGCACACCCCACACTGCACACCCCACACTGCACACCCCACACTGCAAGCCAGCACTGCACCCCAGCACTGCAACCCAGCACTGCATGCCCTGCACTGCACTCCCAGCACTGTACTCCTCTCACTGCATACCCTATACTGCACATCCCACACTGCACACCCCACACTGCATATCCCACACTGCAACCCAGCAATGCATGCCTTGCACTGCACTTCCAGCACTGCACTCCCCTCACTGCACACCCACACTGCACTCCCCTCACTGCATAACCCACAGTGTACTCACCTCACTGCATACCCCTCACTGCACACCCCACACTGCACTCCCCTCACTGCACACCACACACTGCCAACCCCACACTGCACACACCCACTGCAAACCCAACACTGCACTCCCTCACTGCACACCACACACTGCAAACCCCACAGTGCACTCCCCTCACTGCACACCACACACTGCAAACCCCACACTGCACTCCCCTCACTGCACACCACACACTGCAAACCCCACACTGTACTCCCCTCACTGCACTCCCCTCACTGCACAGCACACACTGCACTCCCCTCACTGCACAACACACACTGCAAACCCCACACTGCACACTCCCCACTGCAAACCCAACACTGCACAGCCCACACTGCACACCTGTGCCCTGATCACAGTGCTGGGGTGTGTTCTCTGTGTCCCCTGATCGTCCTTCTCCTGCTCAGAGCCCTGCAGGCAGGTGTCACTGCAGCCCCCACAGACTGTCCCTCTCTCACCCCGCCCCCACCTTCCCCACTTTTCTGCTCGGTCACCGAAACAACATCCGAACTGTTCTGTGCTCTCCAGTCCTTTTTTGCCATTAAAGATGTTGACCCCTAAAGATGCTTGAGAGATATTAGGTTTGGGGTCAGATAGTGTTTGGGTAACTAGAATGTTCTTTCAGTCAGGCTTTAACCTTCCCTTCTGTCTCTAACCAATAAGCTCACCAGGGAGGGCCCAGGGAGACAATCGGTGCGTCCAGGTGGTTCGAAGGGCTTGGCTGGTGACTGTACCTTCCATAGGCCAACGTGTGTCCGTGGGGACACCTGGCATCCACCTGCTGCCATAGGTCTTTCTCCCTGAGATGTGTGTACCTCTGCTGGTGCTCAATCGGCATTGTAGCGCCATTCAGAAGGTCGTCTCCAAGAAAGACCTGGCCCTGGGACGCTGGGAGAAAGGAGAGGCCATAGATTTCTGGATAAATGTCCTTGTTTAGGAAGCTCCTCAAACACCACAGGGGAAAGGAGAAGTGACTGCGCAGGAGCGTTCTTGCCCTGGGACTCTGTTTGTACGCGTGCATCTGAAACCCGCTGTCCCTGGAGGTGACCGAGCGCCTGCTATCGGGGCCACCTCCAGGCACCAGCAACCCCCCCCCAGAGACTTGGTCAAAGTCTTGGGGAGACAAGAGGAGAACGCCCCTGCTGGCTCTGCACCGCCAGGTGAGAGGCCCCGGCGGGCCCAAGTTGGCCAGAAAGTTCGGACGGAAAACAAGTCAACGAATCCACCCGCTCCGCTTGGAGGGATGGCGCGGAAAGCCTCTCTTACCCAAACCTCAATGAGCTTGAAGATAAAATTTATCTTACATAAAACTTTCATGAAAACAACCAACAAGACCCAAAACAAATGGCAGCCAAGACCGAGTTTCAAATGTCCAGTTGTGAACCCGGAGCCGTGAGTGAGAATTGAGGAGGAGTCGGGCTCTGAGGAGACGCCGGTTCTGCGGGGTGCTCAGACTGGGGGGGTTGTGGGGCTGAAGGCGGCACGGTGGGGTCTGGCAGGAAAGACCCGGAGTCCTGCCCTCTGAGTGCTGGAGGGCGGGGCGGGGCAGACCCGGCTCCAGGCCCTGGGGAAAGGCGGCAGGCGGCAGGGCCGCGGCAGGGCCCCACCGTGGAGCAGGTGCCGCTCCTCATGGGGGAAGGCGGGGTCCTCCCCAAACGACCAGGAAAGAAACACACAATCTGGGGACTGGTCGGTGGAGCTGGGTGGCTGACTTTAATTCCGTTTGTCATTCAGCAGCGGGGACCTACGCAGCGCCATGCGTCCTGGGTGCCCGGCTGGCACTGAGGTGCCAGAGGGGCTCCCTGTCCAGCCGGGGCACAGGCACGAGCTTTTAGAGCCAGAATGGGCCAGACTGCCTGCCTGGGCTCAGAGCCTGGCTTCTCCACGCCCTGTCACGTTGGCCGGGCGACTGTGGGTCTCCATGTGCTCTGTGACAGAAGGGTGACCGCCGCGTGCGTCCGGGTGTGTGTGAGCTGACCCGGCTCGTGTATGCAAAGCTTTAGGGTGACATCTCCACCTAGAAAGGCCCCAGAAATAAGAACCATTATCTCAGCGGAGGAGGTGGCTTCTCACCTGCTCTGGTGACCTCTCCTGCCTCACCAGGACGCTTGCTGTGTCCCCTCAACTGTGCACGGATGGCACCGTCTTTATCTCCATGTCCCTTCCTACCAGCCCCCGTCCAGCGTCATTTAAACACACCCAGTGTTTCTCCCCTCAAAGCCAAGCCAAGCGGTTTGAAGGCCCCAGCCCTTCCCGACTCTGGGCCTCTCTAGCAGCTCCACATGTGGATCCCCTGGGAGTTCTTACCCTGGGCCTCAGTTTCCCCTCCTGTCCCTGAACTCTGAGCACTCAGCCGTCCTCCACTGCCCCTGGGTGGTCCCGGTGTGGGCACTGCGCTGAGCTCCCTTCCCAAAGTTTCCATGGACGTGCCCACGATGCCCCAACTGCCCGCTCTGACCGCCCACCTGCAGCTCGGTGGGTTCCCCTCCCCACGCTCAGCCAGCGATGCATGGCCCCCCTGGATCCCAGCATGGCAGGCGGGTGTCCCCTACGGCTCCTCCTGCCGGCGCCCCACACTCAGCCACCACTGGGTGCCGTGGGCGCTGCGCCCGCTTTCCCCAGACGTTCTGGCCTCTCTCCCTGCGCCCTCGCCCCTGCGCCCCCGCCCCTGCGCCCCCGCCCCAGCGTCCAGGGTGAGGTTGGAGAGCATGACCCTGAGCTTACAACCCTCCCACCGCTTCTCCTGCCTTTAGGATAAAGGGCAAACACTTTATCTCAAAGGCCTGTGGGGTGTGTCTGTCAAACCGACTGCACCGTGACCTGAGGGGTCCTCGTGCGGCCTCTGACCCCGCGGGCCTGTCCCCGTAGGCATCCCGTGCGAGTGCAGCCAGCTGCGCAAGGCCATCGGGGAGATGGACAACCAGGTGTCCCAGCTGACCACCGAGCTCAAGTTCATCAAGAACGGTACGTTGTCCCTGCTGTCCTCCCCGCCCCCGGCCCCAGCCCGCGCGCTGCCGCCCGGTGTGCTCCGGGTGCGCGCAGGCTTCGGGCCAGGGGCGCGCGGGGTGCGGGCCGCCCAGACAGACACCGACACGCAGGTGGTCACTTTCCAGCACTGCCCTCCCCCGCAGCTGTCGCCGGCGTGCGCGAGACGGACAGCAAGATCTACCTGCTGGTGAAGGAGGAGAAGAGGTACGCGGACGCGCAGCTGTCCTGCCAGGGCCGTGGCGGCACGCTGGGCATGCCCAAGGACGAGGCCGCCAACGGGCTCATGGCCGCGTACGTGGCGCAGGCCGGCCTGGCGCGCGTCTTCATCGGCATCAACGACCTGGAGCGCGAGGGCGCCTTCGTGTACTCGGACCGCTCGCCCATGCAGACCTTCAACAAGTGGCGCAGCGGCGAGCCCAACAACGCCTACGACGAGGAGGACTGCGTGGAGATGGTGGCCTCGGGCGGCTGGAACGACGTGGCCTGCCACGTCACCATGTACTTCATGTGCGAGTTCGACAAGGAGAGCGTGTGAGCGCGCCCGGGCGCGGCGAGGTCCTGCTGGCCGTGGCAGGTGGCCGTGGCGCCGCCGGGGCTGTCCCTAACTCCGCAAGGAAGGAGGCTGCCGGCTCCTAACGGCCTGGCTCCCAGGAGCGCAGAGGCTCACCCAGCGAAGGTCCCCGTCTGAGCCGCACAGAGCAGCGTGTGCGTGGGAGGAGCAGGAAAGTGTCTGCAGGGCGCTGTTTCTGCTGAAGCAGTTTTATTACCTGTATTGTCGCCAAAATGTTCATTATCTGATTGTTATTACTCAGAATTGCTTTTCCATAGAGCTCTTGCCTTTGTCCAAACTATAAAATAAATCTTTAAACATTGCAATAGTGAAGTGCGAATAGCGGTAGCAGGGTCTTGGGTTACTGCCTTTCTTTTCATTTCTGTATGGAAAAGAATCCGCCTCACTTTGACCAGGGTTTCTGTAAGTTACGTTAACATATAGGTTCCTTCTCATTTTTATCCAAGTAGAAACGATTTTGCTTTGCTTCAAACCCAGATTCCAAAACAAGAACAATAAAAATTCTCCAGACTTTACTACTAAATGTGTGGTATCATTTGTTGTGTGTGTGTGTGTCTCGAGACAGTGTTCTACTCTCTCACCCAGGCCAGGATGCAGTGACATCATCACAGTTCACAGCAACCTCAAACTCCTGGGCTTAAGCAATCCTCTTGCCTCAGCCTCCCCAGTAGCTGAGACTACAGGTGGGTGCCACCATGCCTGGCTAATTTTTCTATTTTTATTACAGACGGGGTCTCACTCTCGCTCAGGTTGGTCTTGAACTCCTGACCTCAAGCAATCCTGCTGCCTCTGCGTCCCAGAGTGCTAGGATTACAGGTGTGAGCCACTGTTCCCTGGCCGAATTTTTTCTGTTGTTATTGGTCATTAAACATAAAATGTCCGATTTCAAATCAAGAATGTAGTTTATTATATCTCCAGCAAGAAGCAGTACAATTAATCAAAGTATCCATCTTAACAGTAGCTTGTTTTTTTTTTTGAGACAGATTCTCACTCAGTTGCATGGGCTAGAGTGCCGTGGCGTCAGCCTCGCTCACAATAACCTCAAACTCCTGGGCTCAAGCGATCCTCTTGCCTCAGCCTCCTGAGTAGCTGGGACTACAGGCACGTGCCACCATGCCCAGCTAATTTTCCTATATATTTTTAGTTGGCCAATTAATTTCTTTCTGTTTTTAGTAGAGACAGGGTCTAGCTCTTGCTCAGGCTGGTTTCGAACTCCTGACCTTGATCAATCCTCCTGCCTTGGCCTCCCAGAGTGCTAGGATTACAGGCATGAGCCACCACGCCCAGCCTAAGAGTAGCTTGTTTATGCTAGCTGCAAAGAAGCCTGGAGAGTGAGTGGCGATGAAATTGCAAAAGACATTTTCCATAGCTTGTTGGGAATTGAATATTTTTCCTTGCAAAAAGTGGTCCAAAGCCTGGAAGAAGTGGTAGTCAGTTGGTGCGAGGTCTGGTGAATATGGTGGATGACAGAGTTTCTAAGTCCGGCTTCTGTAGTTTGAGCAGCGTTGTTTGTGCAGTACATAGTCTAGCGTTGTCTTGCAAGAGCATTGGCCTGTCTCTGTTGACCAATCTTGGCTGCTTAATCACAAGCATCCTCATCATTTCATCCAGTCGGTTGCAGTAGACATCCTCTGTGATGGACTGACCAGGTTTCATGAAGCTGTAGTGGACATTACCAGTGCTGGGCCACCAGACAGACACCAGTAGCTTTTTTTGATGAATATTTGGTTTTGAGCTGTGTTTTGGCATTTCATCTTTATCTAACCGTTGCTGATCACTTGTGATTGTCAAAAAGAATCCGTTTTCATCACATGTCACAATACAGTGTAGAAATGATTTGCCTTTTATGTCGAGACAGCAAAGGAAGGCAAGCTTTGAGACAATTTCTCTTCTGATGCTCATTTAATTCATGCAGAATCCATCTAGCCAGCTTCTTTACCTTGCTGATTTGTTTCAAGTGGTCCAATATTGTTGGAGTAGTAACGTCACCTTGCTGCTAGTTCACACGTAGGTCGAGATGGATTTGCTTCCACTACAGCTTGCAGCTCATCATTATCCACCTTGGTCTCAGGTCGCCCATGTGGCTCATTTTCAAGATTAAAAGAACCAGAACAGAACTTCTCAAACCATCCATGTACTATGCGTTTATTAGCCACATCCTTCCCAAACACTGCATTGATATTTTGAGCTGTCTGCGCTGCATTGGTTCCATGACAAAACTCATATTCGAAAATAACATGAATTTTTGACTCATCCGTGGTTCCACAAAAATTGCTCTAAACAATTTTGAAAGATGTTCACAAGCCAAACCGTGCATTTGAAAGACTGAGGATGCACCTTCGCAACAATACTAAAACAAGAAGTGTCAAGGTGAAATGTTAGAGATATCAACTGTCAAACTTATACTTAAGGAAATCAGACATTTCATACTTAATAAGCTTTAACCCTTTGCACTCGGATGTCGAGTGTGGATAATGTCGAGTGGATAATGAGAAAAAAAGCAAGCGAGTGCAAAGGGTTAATAGTAGAGATAGGGTCTCGCTCTTGTTCAGGCTGGCCTTGAACTCCTGACCTCAACCAAGCCTCCTGCCTCGGCTTCCCAAAGTGCTGGGATTACAGACATGAGCCACCACATCTGGTCCATTTGTTCTCTTAGTTTCTTCAATAGTTACATTAGTCAGAGCTGCCCTTGGTACCTTGTCAGGTGGGCCTCTCCCTGGGCAGCTCGCAGCATGACGTGGCTTCGTCAGAGCAGCAGGGGAGAAGCCGGGGAGAGAAGTCACCGCCTCCCATAGCTGGACCTGGGAGGTCACGTGCATCACCTGGAGGTGTTCTGTCCACGAGCAGCGAGTCACCAGGTGCAGCCCACAGTGGGGCGAATGCCAGGGGGCAGGGACCCCGGGAGCCATTTGAGAAGCTGCCTGCACAGTAACCCACAGCTCTCCTTCCTCTTTTCGTATTTCAGAATCCCTAATCGATATCTTCACTTTCCAAAGGAAACACACATCCATGCACACACACACCCCCTCCCGGTGGGTACTGTGGCTTCTACGTGTCTTTTGAGGGACGCCCTGGGTGTCCTTTTTTAGTAGAGAGAACTGCCTTGGAAGATAAAGATAGCAGCTCCCTCGCCCTGTTACTCCCTCTGCAGAAAAGGTTTGCTCACAGCCTCAGCGGATAAGAGAGAGTGTCCCATTCTGGGGCTGTGGCAGGCATGGTTACTCCAGCTAGTGAGGGTGCTGTCTCCTCCAGGGGAGAGGGCGTGCGTGCGTTCTGCCTGCAGGGAAAGATTGGGCTCCCCAGGCTCAAGGGTCCTCCCTGTACCTGACTCAGCGCGTGTTCAGGTGCCGTCTGCTCCTCTTCACAAAACCCTGCAGGGTGGGGGCCCCGGAGACTGGAGCCGAGATGCCACTGCTCAGCCACTGCGATTGCTGTGAGTAATAAAGTCCTTTCTCTCTGACCTGGGGTTCTGCTGTCTTTTGCCAGCATCCGTGAGACTGGGGCTGTAACTTGAGAAAGATCTCAGACTCTTTCCAGGTCTGGACAGGAGTTTCTTGGCATTTCCATGCGTTTAGTTATCCGCCTCATTGGAAGGTCATAGCAAACGAGTTTACTCAGGTATCTTGGATCCGGGAGGTGCCCGGTTTGGTTGGAAAGAGGAGTCCTTTGTCTCTGTGGAGCAGGAGGCAGACTCAGGTGGGGGACAGGCAAGCCAGAGGGGCGCGGGCCACTGCCTCCCCGTCGGCGGGGTTCGGTGGGGACCAGGCGGACGCTGCCAGGTTTCCGCTTCACCTGCCAGAGTGTGTCTAGGGGAGTCTGCGTCTTCCTGTTCCTGCTTGTGTCAGCTGGTGCTTGCAGGTCACTCCCTCCACGAATCCATCCGTCTTCCCGCTCACCCACTCGTTCACGTGCTGCACAGACAGTCCTTAAATCTGTGTCTCACGGCGGCAGACCAGCGTGGCAGCTCCCCCAGTACCTGGAGCGTAGCTTCACGTGTTGGGGACGCCGCAGTGCACGGGGGACGCCGTGTGTGGGGAGGGCTGTTGCTGCACAGGTCACCTTGGTGGCAGGCAGGTAGGTCCTCAGAGGTCCCCGCGGCTGGGGTCCCACTCCCGGCCCTCCCCTGGCCCCCCGTTACCCAGGAACACACAGCGTACTCAGAGCAGCCCCGAGAGGATGGGGCGCCCGACAGGAAGGGTGCCGCGTGTGTCGTGACGCAGGGAACAGGCACACACATCTTGATTGTGATACATTCACGATGACGCGCAGACATGCAGAGCGAGAAGTGAAAACCCCTCACCACCTTCTCCTCAGCCTGCTTTGCTCCAGTTGGGGGTTAGTCTTTTCAGACCTTAAAAAACCACACAAACACACACACATACACACACACACACATACACACACATACACACACACACACACTCAAATACCTGTGGTTTTTTAGAAATAGCAGTGGAATGGATCGCAGGTGTGCATCACCTCTCACCTTGCCTTTGCAGTTGACAGCACACCTTGGAGCTCTCCCGGCAGGTCACGGATGGCCCTGCCCGTCACCTAGCTCCTGCGCAGGGCTCGGTCGGGCCCGAGTGAGGGAAATGGCACAGCTCGCGCCTGGCCAGGTAGGACCCGGGGGCGGCGTGGCCGAGGGGGTCTGCAGCCTGCGCTTCTGCAGCAGCGAGACAGGCCCCTCCGCTGTGGGTCTGCACAGGGCTGGGGGTGTTCGCACCTGCCTCCCGGTCGTTCTGCCCCCGCACACCCCGCACCTGTCTGGGCCTCAGTCTCCCCACCGTGCAGGCGAGGAGATTGATGGAAGCACCTCTGACCGTCGCATTCATGTCTCTCTGGAAATTCAAGGGGCACCTGCTTCCACGCAGCCCCCCTCCCCTTGGCTTCGCCTGGGGAACCGTGTCAAACCGTTTTCAACTCAGTGGAGGCACACGCAGCCTCTATCTGCGCCTGGTCCACATTCCCTTGTGTGATGGTGACTGTCCTAACGCACGTCCGATCGGGTTCAGGCAGCTGGGCATGAAGTCAGAGCACTGCCCCGACTCAGCTCCCGGGCTGCTCGGACGGGCCTGCCGTGCGGGCTGCAGAGCCTGCTTTGCGTGGCAGGAGACACGGCGTGACTCGGGGCAGAGCCGGGGTGTATTAGGTGCCGCACTGAGGCATGACCGAAAATCTGGCACGTGTGTTTTTTTCAGAGCCCTCCTTGACGTGTGGGCTGAGATGGATGAACATAGGCACAGCCTGGGGCCGCCTGGCGGGTGGCTGCAGACCTGCGATTCCACACTGCCACCAAGTGGGGGAAGGGGACGCGTGCAGCCACACGCGTGTGCAGGGCTGCAGAGCTGCGGGTGCTCACAGGAATTCTTTTGGCTGGTGTGTGTGAGCGCATATCTGTGCACATGTGTGTTCACGCCTGTGTGCACATGTACACATGTGTGCATATATGAGTGCATGCGCGTGTGTGTGTGTGCACAGGGAGGGGAGCAGCTAGAGGCAGGAAGAAAGAACAAAGAGCGGGGCGGGGCGGGGCGGCAGGCGTCTGGCCGGCGGTGCCACTCCGGTCAGAAAGCACTCAGCCTCCCTCGAGCAGCAGACGCAGGGCTAGTCAGAGAGCGAGCTGGCCGCTCTGACCGCTGGTGGCAAAGACAAGCCCTAGCCAGAGGAACGGTCCCCAGCACCTCGGCAGCACCGGCGAAAGCTCCCCATGGGCTGGGAGGCAGGAGCAGTGAATCGTGGGTGCCTCTTCCCGCGGGCTGGGCCCCCGACAGTGGCCAGGCAGCTCCCCGCGGCGTTCTGTCTGGGACAGCCACTCGTCTGGGCGTTTGAAATGCCGCCGTGCCAGGCGGCCACATGTCAGGCGGCAGCTCAGGGTCACGGTTTGGACGGCGGCCCCGTGGCCTCCTGAGCACCCCGGGGGCTGACCAGGTGAGGGCCGGGGCAGTGGCGAAGGCCAGACCGGGTCACTGGGCACGACCCAGCTCCACTCAGCAGGTCTGAGCCGAGGGCAGGGAGGTTTCTTAGCTGTGAGCAGGAAAATCCAGGTCTGGGTAATGTGGGCAGAAAGGGAATGCGTCGAAAGCTTCCTGGGAACTCGTAGGAATCTGGGAGTCTGCGGGACCGGCTTGGGCTGCGTGGAAGGGAACAAAGCCCATGAATCACGCTGCAGACGGGCCTGCGTGGGTCCCTCTGCTGCTGGCGGGGGACGGTTGCTAGGCTGCCGCCACCGTTGCCATGGAAGCAGCAGTGGCTGTGTCTGCATGTCACCAGCCTCTCTTTCAGAGCCTGGGGCGGGTCTGCTGGGGTACCTAGGGTTCAGGGCCATTTTGTGTGTCTGCACGTGTTGTGCACTGCACAAATCCAGAGGCGTCACTCGTAGAACGACAACCTGCACAACCACGTGCCATAGCTTTGTGTGCGCCTGTGCCCTAGATACAAAAAAAAAAAAGACCAGGAAGCACTTATTTTCCAGTTCCTATGGTGGAAGGAAAATGCTGCTTCCTAAGCATGGAAATAGCCCAAGCATAGTGTATCAGTTAGCTTCTGCTGAGTAATAAACCACCACCAAACTTAGTGAGTGTAAACAATAACCATCTATGTAACCATTAATCCTAACTCTGTGGGTCGGCAGTCTGGACTGAGATGAGCTGGGTGGTTCTGGTCTCGCTGGGCTCACTGGGTGGCCGGTCTTGGACGCCCCAGCCGGGAGGCTCATTCTGCAGCCCGAGCTCGTTCGCAAGGTGGGTGCATCACTCCGGAAAGCGAGGGTGGGCGCACGGAAGCCTCCTGAAGCCTCTGCTCAGAGGAACGTCTACAGCCACGGTCTGTCACGAGCTGAGCCCGGGTCCAAGGGGCGGGGGAAGCGGACCCCACCGTGGTGGGAGGGCCGTGTCTGCCATCTGCCGCAGGTGGGAAGTTCAGGTGTAAGACGCAGGGACAGACATCCACCAGGGCGGGATTTGGGAGGCGGGAGGGGTCCTCCAGGCAGTCAGCGAGCAAGGGATGGGGCGTGTGAGAACCGACGGGAGCGGCCTGCCCCCCGGGGCAACGCCAGGCTCTGGGAGCTGGGGCACGGGTGGGTGTCAGAGGCAACGGTCCCCTGGCAGTGCCTTGGGCTCAAGTGCAGCAAAGGAGCTCCTGGGATCCTCTGTGCCAGGCCACGCCAGAGCTCTGCCCCTGCCCGGTGGCCTGGAGGTGTCCTCGCTCCCTTCATCCCACTGGCCGGGCCTGTCCCCAGCAGGCCCGAGGCTCGGGGAGGGCTGAGCCTGTGTCAGCGCGTCCCGTTGTCCTCCCCGGTCACTCGCTCTGGGCTGCAGCCTCAGGCTCAGTTTACCCCTTCCTCTCCCCTCGCCCCCCTGGCCTTCTCTGCTGGACTGTCACCTGCAGTGTGTCAGGAATTGTCCCACAGTTACCACGCATTATCCCCCTGCCAAGGAGGGGGCGCTAAGCTTATCCTGTGGCTGCTGCAGCCCTCGTCACCCCAAATCCTCAGGTCTCCACAGGACGGAGGAGCAAGGGAGCCCCGGTGGGGCTCCAGGAGGGTGCCTCCCGCCTGCCCAGGCCACCCCTCCGGGCCTCAGTCCGTCCGCTGTCACCCTTCCCGCTGCCCGCAGAGCGGTCCCACAGGACGTCTGCCACGCCACCTGCAATGGATGTTCTCCACCTGTGCGGTCCCGCACAGAACCACGCGTGGCCACTGGGCGCCTGCCACTTAGCTCACCAGTCAGAGGAGCTAAAGTTTTAATTCTGTTTAATCATTGTTTTCTTTTTCTTTCTTTCTTTTTTTTTTGAGACAGAGTCTCACTCTGTTGCTCAGGCTAGAGTGCCGTGGTGTCAGCCTCGCTCACAGCAACCCCCAACTCCTGGGCTCAACCGATCCTCCTGCCTCAGCCTCCCGAGTAGCTGGGACTACAGGCATGCACCATCACGTCCAGCTAAATTTTTCTCTATATATTTTTAGTTGGTCAATTAATTTCTTTCTATTGTTAGTAGAGATGGGGTCTCGCTCTTGCTCAGGCTGGTCTCGAACTCCTGACCTCGAGCGATCCTCCCACCTCGGCCTCCTAGAGTGCTAGGATTCCAGGCGTGAGCTGCCGAGCCCAGATTAATTCCTTTTAATTTTAATTAAGTTAATTTAAATTGCAGGTAACTATTTGATTTTAAATAGTTAAACGTGGCTACTGCGTTGGATGCTGCAGCTGGTAGAACCGAGGTCCCGAGTGGCCCACGGGCCGGCGGCACCGCCTTGCCGCAGAACCTGCGAAATCCCGACTCTCGGCCCCATCTGAGACCCTCAGACTCGGGATCTGTGTCCTCAGCACGTCCTCAGCGATGCCAGCGCCCGGTACACTGCGGGAGGCGCCCCTGGCTCGGAGGGAAGGAGAGGGTCAGGTGGCTTCTCTAGCCCCCAGGTGTTCTTCTGTGCCTTTAACCTATGCCACGGCCTAGACTCAGTGACACCAACAAGACAGAAATGGGCCCTTCTGCTCTCCGCACCTACCTGGGGCAGCGGGAGCTGCACTTGCGGGAGAGGTCGTGGCTGACAAGAACTGCGGGGGAAAAAACCCCATCCGCTGATTTACTGAAACACAGTCTGCAGCGTGCGGTTTGTGTTCTTAAAGAATTTTATTTGGAAGGCGAGACCGAGGTGTGAACACCAGCTTGACGGCCGGTGCAGGGAGCCGGGCGCAGGGACAGGGCGCTGGACGCATCCACCCCGCGTGTGCCGTGGGGCGGAGGGCGGGGCGGGCTCCCGGGGGCAGCTCTGAGCCAGCCGCGCAGACATCTGGCTTTCTGCAGGGAAAGAGCAGGTGCAGGAGGGGAGAACGCCGGGCCAGGCCCTGGGAAAAAGAAACCCAGAAGGACAAAAGGAGCCTGTGGGTGGTGGAATCTTCCCGGACAGGATGTCTTTCCGGAGTCTCAAAGGCACACGCCGTCTGCGGTGCTGTTCTGCGTTCGGGCTCCAGTCCAGCCACCCCCACGCAGGCCACCCTGGATGACGTTCTCACCTGTCCAAGCCCGAGTCCCTCCATCGGTAGGGTGGGAGAACACCCCCTGTGCAGGGTGGCTGTGACGAGGCCGTGTGGTCACCTCTGTCACCCCGTCTCACAGTAGGTGCTCAGCTGTTTCTGATCCATGGAAAACTCTTCCTCGGACAAAGAGATCTTCGAGGGCAGGGATGCGTTTGTCTGTGCTGCAAACCCCAAGGCCCAGCATCCCCCGGGCAAGGTGTATTTCTCGAGGGTCCATAGACTTCTTTCAACGACATTAAAGTCCCGTGTGCCTGTGCTGTCGTCAGCGGCTGAGGGTCCTTAACCTTTGTCAAGTTCCTCGAAGGCTCTGTCTTCTCTAGCAGGTCAGGCCCCATTACTGGGTGTGCTCAGCATGCATTAATAGGCGACTTCTAGAGATAAAACCTTAACTCTCGGTGCTAGCTGGACCAGAAAGTGGGGGACTCAGGCTCAGGCCAGCGGCGGGAGGCAGCTTGGTCAGAGATGGCGGGGCCCTGGGACCGGCACTGGTGGGTGGGAGCGGGTCTGGCTCCGGGCCTCGCCTACAAGGGCCGTGCAGAGGCCTGCTTGGCTTCTCCAGGGAGGGGCCGCTCTACCTCTGGGCTCCACGTCCCTGCTGCCCTTGTGACATCACACAGGCATGGCCAACCTCCTTAGAGTTCTGCCTCCACCTCAGGCTCCGTGAATTCTCTCCGAGCTGGCACCCCAGCACCATGGGACCTTGGCTGGCTTGTGGGCAGCAAGAGATCCAATCCTAAATACTGGACTTCGGACCCCCTAGGTGAGCTCAGAGTGTGGTTTATGGATGCCTTGCTGTGTCGGCCGTTGGCATTGCCAAAAGAGCAGGGTGACAGCAGAGACGGGTCTCAATAGTGCAATGAGAGTTTGACGCGAGGCAGGCGAGAGTGGGCGGGCCGTGAAGACACCGCGTTGTGCCGTTGAACTGGGTTGGTATCGGGCCGGGCCCAGCACCAGAAGGGCCCCCGAGCAGGGTTAGACGTCCAGGCTCTCTTGTCTCTGCTCTGCTTGGTTTTAAGTCATGTGACTTTGGTTTTTTAAAAGAAAATCCAAGTAACTAAGCCCGCGGCGAAGTCAACCTATGTTCAAAAGAAGAGTCACAAATTAGAACAAAACTTAGATGTGTGCCAATAGTCACCTGTCACCAGGGACCTCCTGGGTTAAGCTGTGCTCCTCCAAACCTCCGATGACACTCACCCTAGCTTCGTCTCAAACTTGAGCAAGCTGCCTCTCTTATTTCTACCGCGAATCTCATGCTTTGGCCAAAGGCATCTACAGGGCTCGCTGACGGCGAGGACCAGAGTCCCTGGAAGCTTCCTTCTGTAACAGGGACTGTCCGCGGGCAGCGTGGCCTTCCCTGCTCTCCCCCTCCCGGGACCTCCTCGGGGCCTGCACGGTGGGGGCCCCCGGTGGGTGCTTTGGGACCTGTGGCTAAGGAGAGACACTTAGCAGAGACAAACCACAGGCCCTTTCTGTAGCAGACGCTGGAAAGAACCCACCGATCAGGGAAGAGTGGTCGGCACCGAGCCGTGTCCTGGGGACCCATGTTTAGGGTTGTCCCTTTTCTTCCTTGTGTTTTCATCTTAGGGGTGGAGAGACTTTCCACGTGGTAGCTCTTGAGACCGTTGGGTGCCATAGTGAGGCGGTCGGGCCCCCCAAACTCACGCTGCAGTTCGGTGCCCAGTGTTGGAGCTGGCCCTGGTGGAGGAGGTGGATGCCCCAGGAGTGGCTTGGTGCCGTCCTTCCTTGCCGTAGCGAGCGGGTCCCCGCTCTGTTAGTTCCCACGAGAGCTGGCTGTTAAAAGCGCCAGCAGCTCCCCCACCTGCCTGCTCTCCTGGCGTGCGATCTCCGCCCATGCACGCCAGCCCTCTGCACCTGCCGCCATACGAGAGCCGACAGGTGCTGGCGCCAAGCCTCTTATGCGGTGTGCAGAACCGTGAGCCATAAACCTCTTTTCTTCATAAATCTCGTGTCCCAGCCTGGGGCGGGGGGAGGGCGATGCAGAGTCACTCCCCTGGGGACCTGGTAGGGACGGCCGTGCCAGATTGGCCTCTTGCCCGAGGGGTCGTGGTGCAGGCTGCCGCCACATGGTTGGGGCAGAGCCTGCTGGCCCGGGACATTGGCTCTGGCTGGGAGCTTGTACGGCAGCCTGTTCCCGGCCCAGACATACCTGACCGAGCAGGGAAGGGAGAAAAAAAAAAAAAAAAAAAAAAAAAAAAAAAAAGGGTCGTGTAATTTCTCCATAATTCTTTTCGCATTAATAAATTCTTCCTTGAGTCACAGCAAAACCTGTTTATATTACCAAGGAAACCTGGCCTGGGGAGGGCTACAGGCACAGCTGTGCAGGTGGGCAGGATGTGACTGGCTCGTCCTGATTTCTGCAGGAATGAGCATCATGCCCATCTGACCCACCTGCACAGCCTGGAGCCTGCCCATCCAGACCCACCTGGCAACCTTCGCCACTAACCCATTCCAGACCCACCTGGGCAGCCTTGAGGCCCACCCACCCACACCCTCCTGGTGTACTTGGAAAAAGAAGCAACAACGAAAAAATACCAAGACAACCACAACTGAGCAGACATAGAGCAAAACGAGAGACAAAAAAATACACAGACCACATGGAGACCAATATAGAAATAGAGAAACATATCGACAGAAAAAAAAAAGAAATAGATCCACAATAAATAATAACAAAATATAAAGAATATAGATGAAGGATAGCCAAAACATAATACAAAAATCTAAACATACGAGACAAAAAAAGCCCACAACAACACAAAAAAAACATACCTATAGCGAGCATAAAATCAAAAAGTTAACACAAAAAAAAAAAACTCCACAACTAACACAAAACTAAAAAAAAACAACCTATATTAAAAGTAATAAGAAAAGTAACACATACTGACAAACAAACAATACCCCCACACCAAAAAAAACAAAAAACAAATAAAACAGAATACTACAATAAGAGAGATACAAAAACACAAATAGAACATCAACCAAATAAAAAGCAACCAAACAAAAAATAAAATAAAGAAACAATGATCAATACCAAACACACGAGAAAAAAAAACAAAAAAATAGACAAAAAAAAAAAAAAAAACACAAAACAACATATATCACCCACAAAACATAGAATCAATCGACATAACCAAGAACAAACAACAACAAAAACACAAAAACACCAAACTTGAGTAACAACACAAGAGAAAAGACATAAGACAACAATAAAAAGATAACCACATAATACAAAAATATAAACACCAACAAAATAAAATAACAAAACCATAAAATAAATAATAAGATAAAACACAACCCCAATAACACCATAACAATAAACAGAAGAACAAATACATTATTCCTCACTTGGATTCCCACCACCTCCTCCAAATGTTCTGCTACTATTTTGTTTGTCTCTGTCTTTTCTGTCCTCTGATCTACGGCTCAGTGAACGGTCCAAAAGTTAAATCCGATGTCTTCCTCCCCTGCCTAAGATGCCGCCCATAAAATAGAAAGAGCAAGAGCGAGACCCCGCCTCTACTAAAAATAGAAAGAAAATTAATTGGCCAACTAAAGTAGTATAGAAAAAGTCAGCCGGCATGGTGGCTCGTGCCTGTAGTCCCAGCTACTTGGAAGGCTGAGCGGGGAACGGAGAAGGTGGCGGGAAGGCAGACAGGCAGCAGGGAAGGAGAGTCTTGTGCACTCGGGAGGCTGAGGCAGGAGGATCGCTTGAGCCCAGGAGCTGGAGGTTGCTGTGAGCTAGGCTGACGCCACGGTACTCTAGCCCGACAACAGAGTGAGACCTGTCTCAAAAAAAATGTTTTTAAATAAATGTAATTCATTGAAGCTAAATAAAACTTAGAGCCCGGTTCCTCCCTAAACCGGCTTGCATCGCAAGTGCTCCGTGCCACGTGTGGCCACACTGACAGCCCGACACAGGCCTGTCTGTCACCACGGTGTGTCGGCCGTGCTAGGACGCTCTGAAAGGATGACGGGGCAGCAGCAGCACACCACCGGCACCAACCACGGGCACCGCAGCCACCCGCACCGCAAACTTAGAGCCGCACCAGACCCACACAGACACGCAACCCTCGGCGGGCCGGAGTTAAGATCCCCAGAGTCAAAACCGCTCCGGGAGCTCTCTCGCACGCCGATGCTCGGGGTCAGCTCGCCGAGCCCGGGGGATGGCAACCGCTGGGGGCCCGTTTGCCACGCCCGCAAACGCCCAGCCGGTATCATTGCTCCTCTGCCCCGAACAAAGTGACACGTGCCAGGCCTCCTGGCCACCCGGCAAAGGCGTGTCGACCATTTACTTGATTCAGTGATTACAGAGCACTGGATTACCGAGCGTCTCTGGAAACGGCTCGACGTTTTCTCGTCGGCGAGCGAGCTCTACGTGCGCCCTGCAGAGCGCTGGGCGTGTTGCCCAGGCAACAACCGGACCGCTCCTCTCTCAGCTGCCCCGTGTGACAGGAGGAGCCGGGTGCCCTGGTGACACCGTGCATGGCCCACGTGCTTCCCAGCCCCGAGCCGGAGGGCACAGGAGGTGTCCGGTGGCCTTTACCTTGGTGCCGTTTCTATTCCTTTGACGTGCCCCAGCTAACCCACGGAGCACTGGCCGCCCGGCACGCGTGTGCCAGAGCCTGCGGCGCCAGACAGAGAGAGCTAACAGAGATGGGCATTCTGCACGTCGCTTCAGACTCAGCGCTGCGTTCTGTGTATCAGCCCAAACTCACACTCGGTTTAGATAGCAAAGCACTTCAACTTTTGCAAAAAAAAAAGAAAGGATAAAGAATGCTCCCTCCCTTGGAAAAAAATACGTGAAAGGTTTCTTGTGCGAGAATGCTAACTTAGGCAGTGCGGCGAGGGGCCCTGGCGCTGAGACTACAGGCATGCGCCACACATGCCCGGCTAATTTTTTCTATGTATTTTAGTTGGCCAATTTATCTTTCTATTTTTAGTAGGAGACGGCGGTCTCGCTTGCTCAGGCTGGTCTCGAACTCCTGACCTTGAGCGATCTGCCCGCCTTGGCCTCCCAGAGTGCTAGGATGACAGGCGTGAGCTGCCGCGCCCGGCCTGAATTTGCGTTTCAATGTGTTGGATACCCACGTGTGGCTAGTGGCTTCCAGACTGGACAGCGGGGGCCACAAGGAGGTGGTCATCATCGGGTCCTGCGGGTCCTCGAGCCCCCTGCCCCCCGCCCACCTGCCTCTGCCCCTGCCGCCTCTCCTGCAACTCTGGGCTCGGGGGGCCACCCCCAGGGAGACTCCCAAGCCCCCGAAGCTCACAGGTGTGTGCCCTCAAGGCCACGGGGGTCTTGCTGCTGCATTTCCAAGGACGGTCACCACCCCCATTCTTGTCTGTGTCCTCCCCGACCCTGTGAGCCCCTGCTAAGAGCAAGGCATGGCCACACGCAGCGCCGCGCCTGAACATCCCAGAGCATGCACGGCTGCTGAATGAATAAACACGTACGTAAATTGAAGGTTTGTTTAACGAACACCTAAGTATCGCTACTCCATGCCAGCACTCCCTGAGACTTTCCAATGTCTGTCATCGGGAATGTCTGGGCTGGCAATGGGGTTCACTTCACAACTGGGGGTTTAGAAAGCTTACCTGACGCAAGGCCGGGCCCGGCAGCTCATGCCTGTCATCCTACACTCTGGGGGCCGAGGCGGGCGGATCGCTCGAGGTCAGGAGTTCAAAACCAGCCTGAGCAAGAGCGAGACCCCACTAAAAAAAAATAGAAAGAAATTAATTGTCCAACTAATGTTGTATATAGAAAAAAATTGCTGGCTGTGGTGGCGCATGCTTGTAGTCCAGCCTACTTGGGAGACTGAGGCAGGAGGATCGCTTGAGCCCAGGAGTTGGAGGTTGCTGTGAGCTAGGCTGACGCCAGGGCACTCTAGCCCGGGCAACAAAGCGAGACTCTGTCTCAAAAAAAAAAAAACACCAAAAAAACAAAAAAACAAAAAAACTTACTCGACCCCTCAAAGATGCATTTTCTTCACCTGTAAGATGTGGATAATTCCAAAATCGCAGGTGGTTCTGAGGATTAAAGTGAGAAAAACATATTAACAGCACATGACGTTACTGTGAGCTCTCGCTCTGGGGAGACACCAGTGAGCAAAACAAAATTTACTGTCCTCAGGGAGATAATGTAACCGTCAGAGACAGATTGACAAATGCTATAGACAAGCAAACCGAGCCGTATGTTTACAAGCAGTGGGGACAAAGGGAGCTCCGGGTAAGGGGTGTTGGGGTGCTGGCGGGAGTGGGGGCCAACTCTGTAAATCGGGGTCGGGGCTGCTGCACTGGAAGGTGATTGTCAAGCAGGAGCTTGGAGGGAGGGGAGCCAGGGAGCCCTGCACATACGCAGGGAGCAGCAGTCCCCGCAGAGGGAATGGCCATCGCACAGCTGCAGGGGCAGACACGCCTGCAGTGTTTGACGAGCAGCAGGGGAGCGTGGGGCTGCAGGGGCAGGGAGTAGGAGAGGAGGGGCCGGCAGGGACCTGGCACAGGTGAGGGGGCTCGTGGCCAAGGCGAGGGGACCAGCCTTTATTCTGAGTGAAGGCGGAGCCATTGCAGGGCTTCTAACGAGCTCACGTCTGCTTCCGAAAGGTTGCTCCAGGTGCTGCTCTGAGAGCAGGTTGCAGACAGTCAAGGGGACCCAGGAGACCAGTGGGGATATTTAACGTCCAGGAGGCCGAGGACGGTGGTGTCTCTTCTCTCCCCACCCCTGCATGCGCTTTTGTGCATATGTGTGTGCGTGTGAAGTGTATGACGTGCACGCCTTTGGTTGTGCAAGCTCTCACACACATCCCAAACGGGGAGAAATACACGGATCTTTGGCATCACGCAGCCACTGCAGGTATCAGCTCACGGCCAATCTTGCTCCACCTTTGCCCACTTTCCTTCCTCTCAGATAGTTTTGAAGACAATTCCAGACATTGCGTCATTTCCAAATTCTGGGTCCCTTTTGAAGGTAGACATGACTTCCCGACAGAGTGGGATTAAGGGAGGCAGCGGGGGGCGGGTGAAAGACGCCTCTGGGCATCTTTTCCCTGAACCCCAGGAGGATGGAGGTGTCACCCTGCTGAGCCGGGGTGGCCGGCGCAGCAGCTGTGGAGGGCGGGGGCTGGGGCTGGACTCCGGGCTTTGCGATTCCCCTGGTCGCCAGGGCGGACGCTGAGCTGGCTGACATTCACGGCTGCAGCTCAGGAGACAGGTCCAGGAGGGGGAGGCGCTCGGGCCCCCAGGATGCAGGTGGCCCGTGGTCTGCAGAGCTCGGGACTGGACGAGGTCCCTGTGGCAGGAGCCAGCCAAGGAGGGTGGCCAGGAGCTGCCTCCTTGGGGCGTAGGTGTCACCAAGTCACCCTCTGGAGACACCGTGCCCGTTCACATTCCTGACAGCAGAGGCAGATGACGAGAGTGGCCGTGCGTTAAGAAACAGTGGCCGTTTCATAGGCCAGCGGTGTCTTGTAATCGCGTGCACTGCCGTCGTTGCAAGGGACAGTCGACTTCTTACGCCCACTGACCGCTTGTATTCCTTCCCGTGAACAAGCGTAACTCCTAATGCATGCCGGTCTCTCGGAGTCTTGGTTTAGGGGTGTGGGGGTGCCACCTGCACCCCCTATGTACCCCCTCAACTCTCCTCTCCGGCTCTCAGGTGTCTGCTCTCTGGACTTCACAGTGGGGTGCTGGCGCGGTGGGGAAGTTCCACTCTGCCGGTGACATGACCCCGTGACCCTGCAGCCCTGCGTGCCCCCTCCCCCCCCCACAGAGACCTCTCCGGGTTCAGTCCCTGCTGTGTCAGTTTGTCTGTGGGCGCAGTTCCCGCGGGGGTTCCAGCAGGCACCCCTGCATTCTCTGCCCTGCACAGTCCCAGCCAGGGCTGGCCACCGGTTGTTCCATAAGTGGTTTTTTTTTTTTTTGCATGGATTCAAGAACTATTAAAAGGGAGTTCTTTTCTAAATTAAAATAATTCCCCCCTTTTAAATACTAAAACAAAACTTTGCATTTTCTGGTGGTGGGATTTGTAGACTTCAGCGATGTTCTACTCATAAATCCTTCAGAAGGGGGCCTCGCCCCCCTCCCCGCGCCGCGTGTTGTTGCGCCATCACCTTCCGAGTCAGCCGCACCCGGCGGACGGCGCCTGCGGGCCGGTCGGCGGGGCATCCAGCTCGGTCCCCGTCTGACCTCAGACGGTCCCAATCGCGGTGCGGGCGGCCCGGGCGGGCCTGCACCCCCTCTCGGTCCCTGTCACCCGCCCGGCTGACCCCGCCACCCTTCTCGCTCCAGGAGGCATGGCTGAGGCTCCGAGGGAGGGAAAACTGACCCGGTTCCTGGACTTCACGCAGCTGATCGACCTGGCGTCCGAGTCTGTGGGAGGCAAGGTGAGCCGTCCGCCGTGCAGAGCCCGGGACGCAGCGGCACCGGCCGAGGGACCACCGCCTGCAGAAGCCTCAGCAGAAGGGCGTCCCAATAATCCTGAGTGTTGTTGTTTTTTTTTCTTTTTAAACATCGTGCACTGGTGAAAAGCGTGCCCCACCCCCCATGTTTCCTGCACCGTAGGTCAGGGGTCCTGCAGCTCTGGCCGTGTGAGGCCCCCGTGGAGAGCCCGGCACACACGTGTGCAAAAGCCCCAGGTGCCAGGCGCAGGGGCTCCGTGTGGCAGAGGAAAGGCCGGTGCCCACCCAGGAAGCTCACCTCCACCGGGGAGGCAGATGTGAAGTCTGGGCCAGCGCTGGGGCCGAGACCAGGACGGGCGCTGGGGGAGGGAAGAGGCGGGGAGGGGTGGAGTTCGGGCAGGTGAGGCAATGGCCTGGCGCATGGGCGTTTGCAGGGCAGGTGCCATCTTGCCAGCAAGGGGGTGCCCGTTCCCGCTGGTGCTGTGTTGGGAGCACCCTGTGTGTTCGTGGGGAGAGTGGGGAGAAGGAGTCCGGAGAGGGTGGAGAGGCCCCACGTGCCCTGTGAGGGCTTTGGCCGAGGAGCCATGGACGATCTGATCACCCGGCATGTCCGCTCACCTGCCCTTGGAGACCCGAGAGATTTCCGGGGGGCAGGTCAGCCCAACACAGCAGTGACACCCCTACAATGTTGCCGCCCAACAGCTGGCAGCTCCAGAACAGCTGGGTCCTCTCCTGCCTTTCGGACTCCTGAGCTGGTGCCAGAGACCAGGGCCACGTCCCCAGCCCGCTGCAGTGGTCACGGGGCACACTTTCCAGACCCACATAGGGCAGCTTGAGTCCCTAGAGCATACTCCGCAGAGTGTCCCTCGTTCTTAGGTGTGGGTGCCTTCCTCCTGGACCACCGCCGCGCCCACCTCCTTCGGCTACAGATCCTCCGCTCTACAAAAATCCATTTGTGAAGTTCCATCTGCCTTCCCCCCACACACACCACTCCGTCTCCTGGTCCACCTGCCTTCACACACCTCATAATTGACACGTTCAACCCGTGTCTGCCCCCTTCCCAGAACAGAACACAAATCCAACAACCTGTGTAATCCATCCCACCCATCGAAGATCCCACCCAAGCACATAGCCTGGTCCTTCCACTCCCTTCCTAAATGTTTTGCATGCACCCCTCCTCTCCAGCGCCACTCAATATATTAACCTCACTTGGATTCCCACCAACCTCCTCCAAATGTTTCTGCTACTATTTTGTTTCGATCTCTGTCCTTTCTGTCACTGATCTACTGCTTCAGTGAGACGGTCCAAAAGTCTAATCTGTGTCTCTACACCCCTCGCTAAATGCCGACCACTTAAATAGAAAGAGCAAAGAGCGAGACCCCCGCCTCTACACAATAATAAATAATAGAAAGAAATAATTATTGGTAGATCTACAAAGAATATACACTAAAAAAAAAAAAAAA